ATATATATATATATATATATAGAGTCGATAAATTATAGATTTATATGCAATGAGATTCGTATACTTACTAATGGATTTTCTCTATTCCAATGATAGTATACGTAATAGTTTGATCTTTATAGCCCTAATATTTGCGACTCAAAATACACACAAGAAAGTTTCCGAAAAATTAAATAAAAAAAGTTATTCATAAATTTGTATTATTATTATATATTTAGTTTAGGTGGGCAAACTTGTGAATACTGAAGTGCGTACTCATCAGCGCTACTAATATAGATACTATATTGCATATGATCGACTCATTTATATTAACATGTACAGCCATCCAAATATAGTCTATAATTGGCCATATTTAAATTTATATTATCTAAATAATTACTGCTTAAAAACGAAACTGTGCAAATAACTTTTCTACTTAATTTTTCGAGAATTCTAATATCTTGCTACAGTACTTTAAGTCGCAAATTTTGAGACACTCTGTATATATATTGAGCAAAATTTTTCTTGGAGAAAACGTTTTGGAATGTAGCCTATAAGTAATAATTTAGCATTAGGTAGGCTTAAGTTCTATTCTACCAATAAAATAATTGAGTAATATCTCGAGATTCTATATTTAAGATCATACGCATTCGAAAGAGTGAGTGAGTGAGTAAATGAAACAAAGTGAGAAAAACAGAGACGTTAGTTCGTTTTTTATTAAATTCATTTTAATTTTAAGTAGACGCGCAACAGGCACTTTTAAAATTTTAATTCCCTTTCATAGGCATAAAAATTATATTGATATGTAAGAAAACAAAAAAAGAATATCGTTTTTTTTTAGTTCTTAAAAGAATTGAAGAGAATTAAGGCCTTAAAAATGGAGTAACAATTTTGGACTACTCTTTGCACCACATGATTATAAATTTAAAAATTACGCCTTGGAAGATATATATATTTGTGAAGGTGGGGGTATTATTCGCAGGTTTGTGTCAGTTTAGTCTTAGTCTGTCTTGCTCTCAGCTTCGTTCTAGCCGGATTCACGAAAATGAGTGAGACTTGTACAGGCTGATAAAAGTTTAGTAAACATTTTATTAATAAGGAGATTTTATTGTCAGGTAAAGATTTGAGAATAATTAAACAAGTGAGGATAACTGATATCGAACGTGGACAACTTTATTCAAAATAGAATAAATTCTTATTAATCCGCTTATTAATCCACTACATCCCTATTTGCGCAACTTTTTAAATTGTTTTAATTGTGAAATTTTTATAACACATTTCTAAGTTACAATATGTGTGCAACTCCCTGCGTGACAATACAAGTATGAATAAATTCTGCTATTTTGTAACAGCAAATATATAAATAGCTAATGTCGTGTGTACTCCTAGCGGAAGATAAAGACAGACGGATGTTAGAACGGTTTGCGAAAGCAAAAGCGACTATCGAACGTGACGCTGCGTTTACGCTGAAAATTATATACGAAATTATTCATGAAGATTTTCTCATGAAGAAAAAAGTTGAAAATTCTTTGCAGATCAGACTAATTAAACAGAGCCGTGACATAAATTAGCAAGATGATCATATCGGTCACACAATTGTCACCGACTTTATACGCAATAAATGAAGGAATGATTATGTGACAAAATTGTACATCCATCCCAACCAACGAGATACGGAATCATCTCACCCCGAGACATTTAAAAACACTCCAGATCATCACATGTCTTCATTAAAGATTTAGGGCTGATTGTTCCACCTTTTGGTAAATTTTATCTATAAGATAAATCTAATAATTCGAGCATGTGATAATCTAGCTACTTACCCAACAGGTAAAATTTAAGATGGAACAACCGACCCTTAGTAATATTTTTCGCACAACAGGAGCAAAATAATTGAGTCATGAAAAACGTACGAAATTAAATATATATTCGTACGTTTTTCTGTGCGTAATCAAGCGTGAATCACAGACGAGGCGGCGCGATTTTCTTAATTTCTCCATTTTAGCAGGAGGCAGCATAGTCCATGAGCGTAGCCCATCTAACGATGAAACGCAATTTCGAAGATGCGGGAGCCAAGGGTGACTGCGTGCTTCCTGGGACGAGAAGATCGATAGAATACATGCGCGCCTGACCACATCGCGACGCGCACGAGTTCTCTACGCAATCTGTGTTGCAAACGTCCGCCTTGGAGTTGTGCGTTTTTCGCGAGGTGCGGTCAGGTGCTTTGTGACGCGGATCAAATCATACCGTTGATGAAACTGCGCGAAACGCGTAAGCTTCCTATCAGTGCTATCGAAACATCTCGCATCATCGTCCCGCCCGCGCCGCGACGGAATTAATACCTACGCGCACACTGACCTAGAAACACTAAACTTGACGGGATATCATCGTTAACATCGTTGTTTCTCCCTGATAACAGATCCGGTAAGTCGATTTGTTCGGCTGACCTGTTAAGAGACAATGTACATAGCTAGCTAGGAATAATTGCAATTAAAGTCATTCTAACAGAAAGTAATAATAATCGCTAGTGGGGGACGATTCATATAGAATGCGTCTCAGAATTTGACACCTGTGATCGCAATGCTATTACTCGTCAATCAGCACATTATATATTCACCGGCACTGATCACGTTAATTACATTAACGCGACATTCGTAATCTCTATTTATAACCGTGAAATAACATTATGCCTGTAGCGTTTCTCGCGCACGCCACGCTCTGTTATTTCGACATACATTCACGCGCACATCTTTACATTTTTCATTTTATCTATGTTTGTCACTTCTTCGCCTATCCAGACATTTACAATCGCAATATTACGCACAAATTGCGTAAATACTTATGGAATATTTATATACGTGCAATGCTTGTGAAAACATAAATATTATAAAATTATTATTAAATGTTATATCAATGCGAATACTTTGAGAATCAACTTAATTATTGAATCAAATATTAAATATTTATCTCGATTGTGCGTTCGTAATTTGTAGTGCACAAATCTCTTTTCCGATAATAATAAGTGAAAATGTTGCGTGCTAAGATTTAGTAATCATTATTTGCATTTTTAATGCTAATCGTGTGTAAAATCGTAATGTAGAGAGAGAGAGAGAGAGAGAGAGAGAGAGAGAGAGAGAGAGAGAGAGAGAGAGAAATCCAATAACTTGTATTATATATAATAGCAAAAGTAATAACTCGATACATTGCATTTACGTATTATATTTATTACGCATTTAAGAATATGTAATAAATATACGTAAATGCAACGTATCGAGTTATCATTTTTGTTATTACGTACATATTTAAGAATGTATAATAATGCTAGTCTCCTTTTCTTTTATTATCGACTCGTGATGACTTTCTAATATAGATGAAACTTTTAATTGCGGATGATTATAGTCACAGATAAAGGTAGCTACTGATAGCTGATGCTATTGATTGAGTAAACAAAAATTTAATTGAAAATACGTGATTAAATCTTATCATGACAGTTTTTGCAACAATTTTATATATTATTAATAAAGATTACCATTGGAAGAAATGAATATCGTGACTTGAGGTATTCGATCTCGATATATGTCATTTAGCAATATCGGTGGTAAGCCGGAGAAAGAACTTGTGTATAATGAATGGGAACGCAACAGTTGGACTGTCTATGCATCGATATTGTCTAGCGATAGACGAGACAAATAATAATATATATCTCTTATAGTTGCTTTAGAAAAAGTAGGTAGCCTTAAATTTTTCCAAGAGAATGACTATGTCATTTAAATTGTGAAAGGTCATGAGTAATAAAATAATTTCAATTTTAATTAACTCTTTTTCAACTTTGGCCATCACAAATAATATGTATAAATAGAAATATAAATGCTGCTCTTGAATTGTAACAATGGACGCATTTGATTAAATAGATATCTATACTGTAAATTTTCGTTTCAGTGATTACGATGCAAACGGAGAAGAGCGATACCGACACTGAGAAAAACGAGACTCTCAACGATGTAACAACTTCGGTTGCAAACGAGATAACAAATTTGAAGATAGAAGATGGTTCAACGAGTTCGACACCAAGTAGTCCTGGTAGCACTGAACCAGGTAGCTTTTTAGCGAACTTTAAAGCATTCTCGAAATTCGGTGATCCAAAGAGCGACGGCAAACTGATTACGTTAAGTCAAAGTGACAAATGGATGAAGCAAGCGAAAGTGATCGATGGAAAGAAAATTACCACCACGGACACGGGAATTTATTTCAAAAAGCACAAGTATATCTTTTAAAAAAATGTTCTTCATGTCTGTTATTTTGATAAACTTATTTTCTTGATAAACTGCCTGGGAAATTTATTCTTACATTTTTTTTCCTTTTTATTGCAGATCCACAAAGCTCGGTATCGAGCAGTACAAAACGTTTCTTGAAGAATTGACTAAAAGTAAAAAAGTGGAATTAGCGGAAATAAAGAAGAAGATGGCTAATTGTGGACCACCTGGATTTACTGGGGGCGCTAGTGGAGTATGTATATTATTCTAAATTTATTAATTTTATATTCTCTCCTTCTCTTTCAGCATTTCAAAATGTAATAAATTTTGCTACCTAAGCCTTTACTACAATTAGTTTTTCCTTATTTGTACAAATAAATTCATCTTCCTTTTAATCGTTGACTTAATCGCGATTTATGTTATCATACATAATATTTCATCGTGTGATTCATCGCGATGTACATACGAATCAATAGCGCTTTTTCATGCAATTTGCGCGTGTAATTTCTGATTTGCTTATTTTGATTTACAGGCCGGAAAAGCAGCATCGACAGTTGATAGACTTACCGATGTCAGTAAATATACCGGCTCTCACAAGCAACGTTTCGATGAGACAGGAAAAGGTAAAGGCATAGCAGGTCGAAAGGATATACCAGACACATCTGGATACGTCCAAGGCTACCAAAATAAAGATACGTATAAAGGCCAGTAGTACTCATCTGACTGCCCCAATAATAAATATCTTTAAAATCATGCTGTTAAAATCGTGTCTGAGCGCAATATGCACATTCAAATAATCGCTACTCATTGTTAGCGAACTGAACTTTCTTTACTGTTTCATCAGCGATCTGACAGAGGTATCTTGAATATCAATTTCACAAAATTTCATCTTTAAAATGTATATTAAGATAGCAATATCTAATTAAGAACTTTTGGCAAAATAATATGTTTGATATTATGCGGCAATTCTTTTGAAACTTTTTTACTCTTGATGTTAACATTGCATTTTTCGCATATAAATTTTCCGATAAAAGGCCTGAAAAAAATACACTTTCCCTAAATATTATTCTTAAATCAATCTATTTATATTTTGTAATACGATTGTGTTATTTTTAGATATTTCCATTATTATTTGTTCGATTTAATTATTATTATATGATATCAATATTATTAGCTTATAGCTTTTTATTTGTTTATTTACTTCATTAATAAAGTCTTTTTTTTGAGAGAGTAGCAATTATATAGTATAAATATATAAGTACGCAGTCTTAAGTCCACATATATATTATACATATACAGCATCATACTATATGTATATAGCATGTGTTACATCTCTGTTGCATAATTTATTAAGAATGAATTTCCTGAGGTTTATATGAACAAAAGAAATAGATGCTATAAATTTCATTACAAAGTATTACTGTGTATGAAAACAAAATTATATCTTATATCTTATATTTTATATTCTGCACAAAAACTTTTTCTCTTTCGAATTATTAATTTTTGAGATAGAATAATGCACATAATTTTTGTATATATATATATATATATATA